ACATTCACAGAAAACGGCTTATTCGCGTTGAAAAATAAGGTGGATATGAGATGAGGGCATGACTGCAGCCGGCAATGAGGCCGAAACCAGCACAGCCAGTGCAAAAAGATTTGACTTTTTCATTTGACTTATTGTTATTTTATTTATCTGTTATACTGAAGAGACTTTTTTTGAAGGATATTGTTTTATTTTTTTTATTTTTTTTTTGCAATTTTGAGGCATTCAGTTTTATTTTGGTTTTAGAAAATAAAAGTTATTGCTCTCCTCACAAATCAACTCTTCCTTATTTTTCACTGGCATGTCTCTTTGAGTGCATCTTTGAGTACAAAGTATTGTTTTCAGGTATACTCTTTACACCTCTACATATTAGTTTAAATAAAAATGAACTTCCATATTCCTTTACAGATCTTCCTCTCCTTTTTTTTTTAGCTAAACACAATGTGATTGGCACCTTCTTGTTTGACTGATGTCACTGTGTTTTTTTGTCCTCAGAGATGATCGTAGGACGTCCAGCTCGACTCTTGCACTGGAGGATAGCACTCTTCTTGCTTCAGACTCACAGGCGAGCACACCTGAGTCCGTTCTGGACGTCTACTTGGTCAGTAATTGTTGAGTCAAGTCACATTGGTTCTCACCAAATAACACGTGATCTGAAGTTCCTCTGGAACTCAAACTCTTTTGTGTCATTCGCTCCAGATCCGTGTTTGTGGCTCATATTGTTTTCTTTTTTAGTGAAGTGTGAGGCCTTCTGAAGTGGACCGGACCATCCAAACATGTACTAGATGTAGAAACAGTGGACATGCTGTCTCACCCGCCACAATTTTGCACAACGGGATATCTCTAGCTGCTAATACACATGGACTGAGAATGCCTTATGTTTGAAACAATGGCAGAGCGATTGCCACACTATAGTACTGCAGTGCCTTACGCTGTCTGTGCACTTTGTACCTACTTGCAAGCACAAGTTTGTTGTATAATAATAGTTACACTCCCATTAGACCAGTGTGCTGTAACTATCTCATAAACACGCTGGTTGGTATGCATGTTAAAGGCATGATACCAACCTGATTAAAGCATGTGTCATACAAACAAAGAAATAAGTTTATTATATAATAACACTGGTATAATTATATTGTGAGCACTCCTGACTTGTATTGTGTGAGTAATGATTTCATGTAATCATTACAGTACAGTGACTAGTACCAAAAGTTAGTAACATTGTCAATAGTGAGCATGGATTGATTATTATGTCTGCTCGTGTGATTTTGATGCACAATCAGCATAATATAATGACATGGGGCTATTATAATGGTAAATGTTACTTTTTTGTCTAAAGATTTATATGGGTTTAGACGTTAAAAGCCATAAATCTTTAAAAACGTTTTATAAAATGTATTTAAATGTATTTTGATTAGAGTAATATATGAATTAAATGTGCTTTTATGTAGAATGTTTTTAGTTGCTATTATGCTATTAAATGCTGCATCTTCACAAGAACTTTTCCACTTTTTCTGCATCACATGAGTACGGTGTGAATACTATCCATATAATTCAATATGACTGACGAGCTGCAAGACACATTAATGCACTAATCATTTTTATTTTAAGTTATTCTAATACTTATTTATAATTATAACATAATTAAAGATAGCAGTTATAATGTCTGACTCTCACACCAGTGCTCTTCATCTGTTACTGCAGTAGTGTTTTCACTGCTTGCAGTAGTCGCATGCTGTCCACTAGGGTGTGTATTTGTGTTTGTTTCAGTAGGACAAATAATCTTTGAATAAGTATGAGTATTTTACTTTTTATTTATATTAATGTAATGGTGTTCAAACTAATATATTATGTATATGATATATTGTATTATATACTAATATGTTTATTACAAAAAGATAAAGGCCCTTTTAAAGGATAATATGCATATTTTTGGTCTCAAACCGAAAAAAATATATATATATTTTATACATATTTATATTTTTATATTATATATGTATTAGAATAAGAATGTTGATTCAAGCAACACAATTCATGTGAAATGTGAAAAATGTGTAAGTTTATATGATTAAAAAACATTTAAATGTAAAGATAGGGAAATTGATCATGCAAATACTGCTAAATGTCACCATAAGCATATTTGAGCAGCAAGATATTTTGAGTGATTTTAACTACATAGCTATGAAAATGACCTCTTTAGCAGTTTTTGTTTGTTTCAAATCACTTTGGGCATTTCTTAACATCTGAATTATTCACAATTATCACATCACAGTGTAGCTTGAAAATCATAATAAATATGATTAATGCAGGGAATATAATTATCTGTATAAATGTTTTTTTTTTTTACATTTTAACATTCAGTAAATGTAATGTGTTTTATTACATTTTATATTCTGACCCTTATGATAACACAATGTTTCAAAGCATCTAGCCACGACACAAAACTTTTAAATCATCAGACTTTAAAGATGACATATGATCCATATGGAGGCTTATGTGGTATGACTCAATCAGCTGGTCAGACATATGCGCACAGGTATGAATCAGAGCGGTCACGTGACTTGGGAATGCGCTGTTTGGACTCACCTGCGAGTTCTTGGACACGCCCATACCTGGAAGATTCAGGAAATCTGGGATTGTACACTGAATCGAGCTGTTGAGTGTTTGTCTTTAAGTGTCCAGTCACATATAGATCCCGCCGGACCCCGCGTGTCTCCGAGAGTTGATGGCTCTTCAGTACTGGCCCCTCTAAAGGTACGTGCTTTCACTCAGGACGAGTTTTGGTGTTTTTGCTGTTTCCCTGTTGACTGGTTTCGGTTGTCTATTGTTTAGGGGAGGAGGCGGATAAAACTAAAGTAATGTCAGATGAACATAAAACTGGCGCTTTTAATGTGAACTTGAATTCACTTGTATTTGATTTCGTCTTCACTTGAACGCAGTTAGCAGCGTGTTTTAGGCCTAGCGTTACATGTCATGATATTATGTTCCCTGTCCTGCATGTTTCTCAGAAACTTCAGTGATTCCCCTCACGCGTAGTTTCATGGCAATACGCTGCGATGCTGAGAGGTGTAACTACACTCTAAAAAATGCTGGGTTAAATACAACCCAGTGCTGGGTAAAACAGGGACAAACCCAGCAATTGGGCTGTTTTGACCCAGCAAATGTTTAACCCAACCTTCTGGGTAGTAACCCAACCGCTGGGTAAAATACAACCCAATTGCTGGGTTTGTCCCTATTTTACCCAGCACTGGGTTGTATTTTACCCAGCATTTTTTAGAGTGTAAGCTTATTTTACATTTTATCTTGGTAAACAAATCTATTTTATGATTAATCGATTGAATATTTCAATTGTAAACAATTTAGAAACTAAGAAAAAGTCTAAGAAATTGTATTCAAAAGAAAAGCTTATAGCAGCAGTAGTTTCGTATTATCTTGATTATTCTTAATAATAATAATAAACTGCTTATAGGCTATTTAAACTTGTCTGCCAAATCTAAACAACATGTAGGAAAAACATAAAACAGGAAATTATATCATAGAGAGGACCCCCAAAAGACCCATATCAAAATCACTACATGTTGTTAAAAATGTACTGTTTAATGTTTAAAATATAAACTTTTTAAGATCTAATTGTCTGTCTATATACACAACGATTTATTAAAGGGGTCATATTATGCTTTTTTAAAGATCATTATTTTGTGTATTTGGTGTAACAGAATATGTTGACATGCTTTAATGTTCAAAAAACACATTATTTTTCAAA